GATCTGCATTTAGCTTTCCTCCTGCACTTCCATGCCAACATGATCTTTTGTCGGTTATCTGCAAATGCTGTGGAAACATGCGTTGTTGTTAGTCTACTTTTGATTTGGATAAAAAACATGGTTCACAGCAATTAATCAAACGCACACTTACTTTTACTGCCTCCAAAATCTGACGACTGTTCTCCCCCCTGTTTGTACTCCATGTTGCTGTCCGTAGGTAGGGGGTGGAACTCAGCTGAAACATATGAGAAACACATGAGTCTTATTTGACTAATGTTTCTAATTTCTGCTGATACATTTGTAAGGGGGTTTAAATTCTCTGAAACACAATAAGGAACACCAGAACAAATGCAACAAAAAGATGTTATTAATAAAACAAAATGTTTAAACAACAAAAAAACACATTCAATTCACTAATCGTTGCCTTTGCCCTTCTGTCAAAGATGATAAAGATGTGATGTTCAGAAATAGTTTTTGAGCCTGTGTAACTCAATTTAAACTAGAGCTGCTCAATCAATTGTATTTTAATCGCAATTCCGATTGTGGCTTGCAACGATTATGAAAACAACCTAATCGAAATAAAACGATTATTTTTTTATTATTATTATTATTATTACTTTCTTTTTTTAAATAAAATTATTTTTTTATTGGTTTTTCAATTGAATTATAATTAAAGTTCAGGGTAATCAACTGTTAAAAACATACTGTTCAACATTTTTTTCTCCAAAAAATGGATGCTTTCAAAGTAAATGGATAATCGTTTTTAATAATCGTGATATCAATTATTGACCACAAAAATCGAGATTATTATTCTTTTTAAAAGACTACATTTACATAGTCAAAAGGTCCTTTTGTTCAGCCTCACAATGCTATTGGGTAGTAAATGTGTTATAGGTCCTGCCCTCTGGCCATANACGCCAGGGATTTTGGGCCCCATGGAAATATATTACATTGGGCCGGCCCCACCACCAGGCCCAGGCCACGCCAACCAAGCACAATTGCTGTAACCACACCTCCAGAACCCAACCCACTCATTTATGCTTTAAATAACTCTACCTGTACAGGCTTGCATCTACAGTACAGTATTTACTGATACCGAGCTGTGAAAATATAACACTTATGGGGGGACAGGGCTGCTAAGTCTAGAGATGGATCTGTTGGTCCTGGCACCAGGGGGAGGGACAACTGATTTAGTATGAATAGCTGCTAAAAATGTACCTGCATTTACTAAATGTCAGCTAAAAGAGGAGTGAAATTAAAAACCTGTATAGATATTAACAGTACTTAATGTCAGCTTAGTAAAAAAAAA